CTCAGGAGTTTAAAGATCAGGCAAAATTTATTTAAAATTCTGTGAATTATTCGCTGTATATGTTTTTATTTTTGCAGGAATCAGGAAATCTGGGATGTGCTGTGCTTGGACCCACATGCACCTATGCTACTTTCCCAATAGTTGAGTAAGTTCCGAATTTTCCAAGGACATGATTCTGCCAATAAGCTTGAAAAAGACACTTCAGATTTCCAAACAGGTTTTGCCTGTGTTGCACTATGCGTATCGTTCCCCCGTTTATCATAATTAGTCGATACCATTGTCTCCCTCTCTTTTTTATTCTCTTCTTCCAGTAAGGAAGCCGGCATGAGTCTAAGTAGACCCATTATCTCAGCGGGAAGCTTTGGTCGTTCGTGCGACTACACCTTCAACTTGCAGCGACTCCTGCCACCTGCACGCAAGATCAATGACTTTGTCACCCACTTCTGGGAAGAAAACAATGAGCTCAAACCTTCATGGCAGGCAGCGTATATTTATAAAACAACGAACAGCACAGAGGAATGCCTTTGGTGAGTAACCCATCTTTAAGGAGAGACTCATCTGTTGTGAGCTATTACAAAATCTGATAAATGATATTTTTAATTATATTCTAGTTACATTTTTAAATGTAATAAAATGTTTTTAATTTAAATTATGCATTATATTCATTTTCATCTTCAGGTATGTAAGTGCAATTGAAGCGACGGTGGAACCGCTTGCCTTAAATATTTCAATAATGCCTCTACGCAGTCCCACAGAACTGCACAGCGTGCTTACATTACCCAACAGGACATGCAACTGTAAGAATTTGATGTATTTTTCTCAAACAAGATCGAAAACCTCTCTGTTTTCACAGCGCGACATAACAATGGCGTTCAGTTTGCTGGGACAACACACACAGACAGCTAGGATGCTATTTTCCTAAGAGAGCCCAGGGCCAGGGTCTACAAAGCACATTTAATTCAACTATTAAGTTTGTTAACGCTGTCATCATGAGGGAGACTCTGAATTTTCTATTTCAGAAGGAGAGCTAGCTCGAGGGCCATAATAGCTTTTCTTTGAACTTCCTGCTGCATATTTTTCTGCCACATTACGAAGGGTGAATTAAAAAAAACATCAACAGTATCAGGCTATGCTTGATGGCTTTAGGTTTTGGTATTAACTTTGGTTTCAAGGTTGAAGAAGTAATTTAAATGGAAATCAAGTTTGTATTTGAGTCCCAAGGCCAACTAGGCAAAAAAACAGAAGAAAAAAGTAACTGAAAGACTGTTCTGTTACAAATACTTCTCCGCTGCAGTGTTCATCATGTGTGGATCACCAATGGACCTAGCGGAAATTAAAAACGGCTCTAAGGCTGCGGACAGCAGTGATATCGCCTTCATCCTCATTGATCTTTACAGGTTAGTGCTGTTGAATCATTTCACCTCTGTTCCTCTTTATTCCACTTGTTTTCTTTTTCTCTAACCCCACAGCAGTGATTCACAATCAGTACTTTCCTAACTGGTGAATGGGTACCTGGAGATTGTAAAGTAGTGACTGACTGATTGAGTGATTTCATGGAGTCAGTTACTGCGTGTCGTCATAAGATGAGACTAAGTGTGGGAAGAAGTGAAGAAGCAGACAAAGATGAAATAAAAAATTCAATCAGGACAGCTCGAGCCAACGTAATATTATTTCCATCATCTATGACTGCTCATCCAATGGACACAGTTAAAAAGCCTCAGGAGGGGAGAGGAGCAGCAAAGCAGGCACCGGCAACAAACATGACATTAAGTCACCATGAAAACTGAAAGTTGGGATGGAGCTGGGTTGCAAAATGGCTTGCAGAGGTAGCGGTTATGGTCAGGCTAAAGCTCCTTTTGGATCCAGTGTACTTGATGCCCTGACTAAACAATTGATGTTTTTTGTCAAAAGCCGCACACAGTAGAAGTAGTAAGCCTAATTCAATTTCTGGAAGAAAGATTTTTTTAAAAATTGGACAAAACTTGCTAAGCTAAGTGGCTAACTTAGCACAAACTAGGCTAAATCTATTGAGTTTTCAACAGTTTTATTATTGAATGATAATATCTATCTTTATACCAATAAAAGTTGGTAAAGCATGGTAAGCAAAGATCTATACCAAGTAAACT